GGAAAGAATATTTGGAGGAGTGCTGTGTCCCCTGTCAGGCGTACATGAATGCAGGGGTATTCTGAGGGGTAAACCAGTTACCTGAGCATGAGAAGGAAGTTGCCTCTCACTAGGTGTTGAGTCTACTTTCATAAGCATGAAGCATCCTCTTTCAGGATTCAGGGGTCATGCTCTCCTCATGCATGGTGGTGAAGGTGATTTGTTAGAGAGTAGGAACTTCGGAGTCTACTGTTACTGAAAAAAAAAAAGTCTATGCAGAGAGAATGAAGATGAATGTAATTCCAGACAAAGAGATCAGACACATAGAATCTCTAAAGAGCCTTATCGCCACCAAATTGAATCTAACCAACCAAAAAAGTGTGCATAAATAAATGAAAGCTAATGTTGAAATTTTGCTTACAGATAAAATGTTATGTTTTTCAGAGCGCTGCAAATGTAAGCCTATTAGAGCTACACAGAAGACCTATTTCCGAAACAATTATAACTATGGTAAGGATAACTTCATGGTTGATCTATAAACTGCTGTGTAAAGAAGTGTGTGTGTGTGTGTGTGTGCGCGTGTGTGTGTGTGTGTGAGAGAGAGAGAGAGCGAGAGCGAGCAGTTCAAGAATAAGACTTAAAAGCAAATAAATAAGGACAACTTTTGAGAGGATACCTGTCCCAAATAATTAAAATGTCTGATGTGGGCAAAATCCTTAACAAATCATTGATTTTGAAGCATATCAGGTAGCAATGCTGTATCATAGAATCATGTAACCGAGTATAGAGATACATTTCAAACTGGGTGGGAGGGATTCTCCCCCTGGAATTGAGCGTGAGAGGTGCTTGAAGTTCAGTTGAGTTTGTATTTATTTTACTTTACTTAATCAATTTTTACTTTATTCAGCTTTCATAACACTATTATTTTTGTTGAAAGTCAAAATACTAGTGGTTGCAAGTCATGGAAAGAGAATATTTTCAACAAGGTAGCTGAAAGAATGCTGTCACATCAACTGGGATACAGATCACAATCAGTGGAAAGAAGATACTTTCTCATAACCACACAATAATAACCAGGTTGCCTGCAGTTTAAGGATTTTCACTTGCCTGGGTCTTATTTAGAGCTTCTGTGGGGAAGGCAGGCACTCCAATGATTAAATAGCAGAAAAAAAAAACACCATCTGAAAAAAATTTAAAATCCCCAAATATATTGATTTTCATAAATATCTATGTGTCTATTGAGAAAACAAAGTGGGGGTGAGAGCAATTGATAACTCGGACAGAACCTCTGCTTCATTCAGAATTAGTTCAGGTAAAATTTCTTGAGCTTTCATAAAATTACTGAATACTAAAGTAAGTCTTGCAGAGAGATATTTATTTTGGAGGGGGTATGTGTGCTAAAAATTTCTAATAAAAATAGTAGCCACACTGGGTAAATAAATCATTAGTCTGAGAACGTTTGCACAGCGCACGGATCTCTAAGAGTTGATGGATGCTGCGAAGCATATTCACATAAACCAGGATCCCAGAATGTCTGCTGGCTGGGCTGTGAATTTATCATCTGATTCTCCAAAATGACATTTCCAAACGGGAAATCTTATCTTTTGTTAAAATAGAACATGGACGGAAAGGGATTCCTTTGCTCACAAGTCACACCAAGCAGGGGCAGTTGCATTTTGTTTGCTGTAAGTTCTCATATTTGAGGCACCCAATTTTCTGAAAATTAAAATACCTGTGAAGCAAAAATGAGGTTTTTGTCCTAAATTTTTTAAAATTAGTAACTTAATTTCTATTGTATGCACATTGTCCTGGTGGAAAATTAGATAAGTTTCTGTATGGAGTTGGGCATGGATGCAGCTATTAGTTGGCTAATTTTCATGGGTTACTTTTTTCCCTTTTTTTTTTGAGTCCAAAACTTCTAAAATATGTGGTGACTCAGGTGAAAGTGATCTGCTGATATGTGCCTAAGGGGCTTTTTAAAAAGGGATTCATTTGAACACGTATTTTTCTCCATATAACATCCATGGATATTGAGCTAGAGAGAGGTTGGCAAACTCATTCGTCAACAGAGCCAAATATCAACAGTACGACGTTTGAAATTTCTTTTGAGAGCCAAATTTTTAAACTTAAACTATATAGGTAGCTACATTGTTATTAACTCCTAAGGCTTAGGAAGAGCCACACTCAAGGGGCCAAAGAACTGCGTGTGGCTCAGGAGCCGCAGTGTGCCGACCACGGAGCTAGAGCAATGAGGGTGCCTGGGAGAGAGCCATTGGCTTCTTACAAATTGACATTTTTTACTTCGCAGGCTTTTTCAAACTCCCCCTTTAAGAAAAAAAAAAAAGAGCTCCTTTACCACAAGTAGGAATCTAAAGAATTTGGCCCCTCCAAAGAGGAGAAATACAGAAAAGAAGCAGATCTGTACTTGCTAGATTATGAGTCAAATACTTCAACTTTGCCACTGAATTGATTATTTTTAAGGCAGTTTGTCTGTATATTAAGCAGTGAAGCCAGCGCTTGTGAGATAAACTGGGTGTCGGTATATCCACCGAGAGAGGTAGGTGAATGCAATTCACACTTTAGACTGTGTTCCATAGCACATGAGGGGAAGGAATGTTGGAGGGTCTGACTTCAAAGATGATGGAGGAAGCAAGATCTAGTGGTGACTGTTTTTACTAAAAAAAAAAAAAAAAGTCGAATGCTCACAGGAGCGCATAAAAGAAAATCTGTACTGAAACAAAAGGAAAAAGGCGCTGGTGTCTGAACAGGGAGCTAAAGTGAGGAAGGTGAAAAGGTCACAGAAACAGTTTGGAAACACAGCAGAACAGGACATCTTTATAACACTAATGAGACCCCCAGCTCCTTAGAGAATCCATTAATAGACCCGATAAAAGAATACTGACAAGGAAACGAAGCTTATTTAAGTACTAGGTCTTTACGTATAGTGAAATTAATAAAGTTTAAGTTCCTGTTGGCAGCAGTGGAAACTGCAGACACCATATTTACGCATCCAAATGAAATTTTGGAGGGAAATTACATCAGATTGACCCGACCTTTGATTATATAGATGCATTTTTCTCAATGAAATACACACACACAACTGTATTTGTGCATGTTAATGAGGAATACATCATCATGGGCTATGAAGATGAGGAGCGCTCCAGGTAATCCGCTCCTTAAGGATTCAGAACAATTTCTCTGCCTATCCTATCCTACTGTCCTTCTCTAGAGATCTTACTCTGGGATTCTTAACCTGGGATCTGTGTGCCTACTAGGGGATTACAGATAGTTTTTAGTTGGGCCACTCAATTGCAAGTATGGGGTAGGGTATATGTGTATAATTTGTGGGTGTGCATTTTTCTGGGGAGAGGGGTCATCACTTCATTTGTTCTTAAAGGGGTCCATGGCTCCCAAATGGTTAACAATTACTGTTGTAAGGCTGTAGAATCTCAGAGGGAAGGTGGGGGGCGGTGGGCGAGTGGGAAGAGATTAACCAAAGAACTTATATACATATATGCATAACCCATGGACACAGACAATATTGTGGTAAAGTCCTGGGGCGGAGGGGCAGGTGAGGGCTAGAAGGTGTCAGTGGGGATAAATAGGGGACATCTGTAATACTTTCAACAATAAAGATGAAACAGAAATTACTATTCTAAAAAAAATTACTGTTCTAAAACGTGGTCATTCTATTCTAGAATAAGCAGGTAAGTCTTTGCAATGGTTCCTTGTAATTTTCAGTAATATGTTTTAATTTTCAAACGTGCTTGCTTTAAAAAATGCAGATTACTGTTGGTGGAGGGTTCTATTGCTGAAAAATGGAAGGATCGACTGGGTAAAAAAGTTAAGGTAAGCCTCTGTTTTATGTTTAAAGTGATACACAGAAAACCAGCCCTTTGTCACACATGAAGTGGCTGTGCTCAACTCCATGAGAAATATTAAAATCTGATATATATATGTATATACTAGTAGCCCGGTGCACAAAAATTTGCGCACTCAGGGATGGAGGGGGGTGAAGGGTGGGGCCAGACCCCTCAGCCCGACCTGCACCCTCTGTCATGCTCCGGGACCCCGGCCGCTCCTGGCCTAGGCACAGGCCTACAGGCTTGGGGTGGCCTGGCTCCCGAGGCCCCATTTTATCAAGAGAACAAAGTCGGCCTTAGTTACAGCCCTCACCGAACCCAGTACAGTGCATCTGCGCCTACAACTGCCTCGTTCACGTGCCTGCTTCGCCTACTGAATTTCTAACATCTTGAGGACATTGCTCTGTCTTATCCTGCTTCACCTTCAGTGCCTGGCCTGGTGACATGGACCTGAGAGGCCTGGTGCCGGACCTGAGAGGGTGTGCTGAGTGAGTGAGTGAATAATGAGTGAGTAAGTGAATGAGTGAATGAGCAAGCAGCTACGGGGTGGGAACTTCTGCGTTGCCATGGCAATGCGGCAGAAGTTCCCACCCTACTCCCGGCTGTCTGACACCCACCCTGGGAAGTTCCCACCCTGCTCCCAGCGACCTGGTGGCCCTCTCCCGGCTGCATAGTTCCTGTTCCCAGTGGCCCGGCGCCCCTCTCCCGGCTGCATAGTTTGTGCCGGGCAAAGGCAGCCCCGGCCGGTTCTCTGCTTTTGCCCTGCCACCAGGCACCATCAGCGGCAGGCGGCTTCTTCTGTCCTTCCCTTTTCGCCTCCCAGCATTGTGCCTACGTATGCAAATTAGCCGCCATCTTTGTTGGCAGTTAATTTGCATATCGCCCTGATTAGCCAATGGGAAGCATAGTGAAGGTATGGTCAATTACCATGTTTGTCTATTATTAGATTAGATATTTAAAATTCTAAGGATTGAGTTTGCTTTTAATATTGATTTCATTTAGGAAGTTCTCTGTATGCATATGAGAAATGTAACTCTAGTTGCCTAACTTCTCACAATGTGAATTCTAGTTGCAGTTAGTCCAGTCTGGTAGGGTGACTCCACTTTTATCTTTAGAGTCCCAGGTTCCTTCCAGCTTCCTGCTCTACCATTTTTAAGGATATTCCTCCTATACTCATGTTCACGTGGAGGTCACAAGAGAGCTGCCCCTCCTCCAGCATCACACATTTTAGGGAGAAAGAAAAGAGAGGTAAAAAGGAGTTTCCAAGTGCTGCATCTAGCAACATTTACATACGACTGGGTCTCATATCCGTCCTTAATTGCAAGAGAGGCTGGGAACTAGAGTTTTGTTTAGCTGGGCATATTGTGCGCATGAACAAATTGCAGTTCTGTGAATCATAGAAGAAAGAATGAGTAGGAAACTACCAATATTGTCTCAATGCATAGCCACCATTTTCTATGTACAAGGTGCAGCCACATTCATCTGTATATATAAGCTCCTTAGAGTAGTCATGTAGCTTTATTTTTGAGCCAGTGAATCTTAAATTCTGGAAGTGTTGCATTTTTTAAAAAGCGCTGTAAATTACCTTTCAAATAGAAGGTTCCATTTCTTCTTACTATACTAAGCAAATCAGTGTCAAAGAACATGGGAGAATATATAGAGGGGCAAAGAATTGAAAATGGTGTGTGTGTGTAGTGGGTGGGGTGGGGGCGAGGAGAGTGGAAATTGTAGCAAACATAATACATCCTCTTCCTTCTGTGAGTTTGAAGGGTTGGGAAACATTTACAGGGCAAGTTAAAAAACCCTGGGCAGTTTACCTTATACATCTGGCACTCGGCGCAGCAGAAACATCCGAGTTCAAGAGACCTACAAAAAATGTAGCGGGTATTAATTTGCAGGGAGAAACTGCCCTCCAGTAAGCTCTACTCTCCCCCTTTCCCCGCCCCCGATACTTGTCAAAAGTGAGATGTACTTCAAGTTTAGACTTGTGAGAATTCTCTGTTTGTATCTCTTTTCAATTAGTTTGGTGTTTATTGAAAAGTGGCTCTTCTTCAGTATTTGGAATCTCTACTGTCCTTTTAGTTTGGTTTTCTGCTTGCTAATGCAGAACAGGAATGTGTCCTAAATTCCTGTACCAGATGGAAGAGCTTTTAACATCCCTGGTACCAAAACAGTTATCATCATGTAAAGACCCAGGATGCTTGGCTTGTTTGTCCTGTCGCTTAGTAAGGCAAACATATTTTCTATTGCTTTCTACAGGGGACACACACAGAGTTTTTATTGTGAAATTATTTGTATTCTTAGTCTAGGTTTAAACATGCTCAACAATTTAATTCATATGTAGCTACTTAGGACTAAAGTCCTTGGTTATTAGTAAACTTGACTGTGGAAAAACCTTTAAAAAATATGTATGTTTTTATTGATTTCAGAGAGGAGGGGAGAGGGAGAGAGAGATAGAAATTTTAATGAAGAGAGAGAATTATTGATTGGCTGTCTGCTACAGGCCCCACACTGGGGATTGAGCCCGCAACTCGTGCATGTACCCTGATTAAGACTTGAACCATGACCTCCTGGTTCATAGGTCAATGCTCAATCACTCAACCACACCGGCTGGGCTGGAAAAATCTCTTTTGATTAGAATTATTAGAGGGCGCAGAGGGAATAAATAGTGATGGGGGGTGGGAAGGAAAAATAATCTTTCATTATAAAAAAGAATAATTAGAAAAAACTAAACTAGATCTTTAGTTTTCAAGTTAATTTGAGGATGGGAAAAATAGTTTTGTGGAGGACACTATTGTGTGTGTGTGTGTGTGTGTGTGTGAGTGTGTGAGTGTGTGTGTTTAACATAAGAGTTGCTCATTTAACTGATTTTTTTGCTTTCAGTAGCTAGACCAAGAATTAAATAAAAACCTTTCTATGTTTTTCCATGCAAGTGGTTGTTTATTTAAGTCTCTGTTATAGTAGGTTGTTCAAATTAAGATATTTGCCCTGCCTTGGAGAACTGAGAATCAGACTGTTCTTTTAATATGAAAAACAATAAGACTGTGGAAGAAAGTGTCTAAAATGAATTACTTTTGGTAATTGAAAAATGATAATTTATTATGAACTAAGCACTTTATACATTTTTCATCTATTATTCTTCAGAACAGTCTTATAAGCGGATTCTATTATTAATTTCAATGTGTTGTTGATGAAGGGGAGGTGGAGTAAGTTTAAGAAACTTTGCATGGTAACCGATGGAGTTAGAATTTGATATTCACTCCTTGCTACTCAAAGTGTGGTCCTTGGACCAGCAACGTTGGCATCACATGGGAGCTTGTTAAATATGAAAATCTTGGGCCCCATTGCAGGCCCACTGAATGAGAATCTAATCTGCAATCTATCAAGATCTACAGGTTATTTCTCTAGTCATTGAAATTTGAGAAGTATTGCTATAGTCTTTATTCTTCGTTACTGCTTATAATATTCATAATGTAACTTCCTTTTAATTTATTATATTCCATGTAAACCTCATCACATTGTTCATCTGAAACATTAGTAAACTTGCTTGCGGTTATTAAAAAGGTGGGTAATGACTGCTTTGTAAAACTGAGAATGAGGGCAGAAACTTGTCTGCTGTTCATTGCCCTTGGTAGGTGCTACTTAGAAAACTATTTTTAAGAGACCCTATTCCCAACCTAAATTTTCTTTTTCTTTCATTGCTCAAATCACATGGATTTAAAAGGGCTATATGTCCTTTTATGTTATAAGAGAGGAAGATGAAAAATAGCTCTTCCTTCACATCGTCTATGTAAAGCTTCCATTTGCTGACCACCTGTAAAGGGCCAGACTTGTATTTTTTTATCTCAGGAAATTTCATAGGTAGCAACAGAGATTGTGTCACCATTTACTGACGTGGAAGTTTTAAGCTTAAGGTTTGATATGAAAGCATTATTGATCTAGGCAGCCAAGTTCATACAGCATCAATGTCATTGTTACCCTGGGACATAGAGCTTATACTTTTGGAAAGTAGTAAAATGCTGTTGAGACCTGACTTTGCAGTCTCACTCAGTTGTGAGAATCAGAAGTGACAACCCTGGTAACATGCGCATGCGACCACTCTCTGTTTTAAATCTCACAGCGCTGGGATATGAAGCTCCGTCACCTTGGACTGAATAAAAGTGATTCTAGCCATAGTGATTCCACGCAGAGTCAGAAGTCTGGCAGGAGCTCCAACCCCCGGCAAGCGCGCAACTAAACCCTGAAACGCGGAAAGAACGCTGGTGGACTTCCTATTAAGACTTGCATTGCTGGACTAGCAAAGGAAAATTGCACTATTGCACGTCATATTCTATTTTTTACCACAAAAACTCATGTGGTAACTGATATTACTTCTATTTTCTCTTTTGTTTTCTGCTTTTCTCTTTCCTCCTCCCCGCCCCCGTTTTTTGTGGTCTGGGTGCAGATCCTTAAATATATGATATGTATTCTATTTCACTAGTCATGGGAAAACTGTTCTTTGCAATAATAATAAATTAAACATGTGGATACCAGGGCCTCTTTGCTGGAGTAAATGCTCATTTACTGCTCTGCGCTGAGACTGGGAATGCAACATTGGATACAAAGAGAGAAAGCTAAATAAGCTGTACAATATATTCGGCTGATCTAATTACAGCCTCGTTTTTTGCATGCCTTTGGGGCATTCTCCTCAAGCTTAGAAAGTCCTACATGTTTACAAAGGTAAAGTAGCAGTTTGAAATAAAATGCTGCATAGGCAAAGCAATCAAGCTGCAGGAAGCATTTATGAGGAAAAGACACACAAGACGAACTATTTGCAAGATTGGCAGGAAGCAAAATAAATAGTTAGAGGAGTTGGGGAAAGAACATTTTGCCTGCTTGAGAAGCACAGCTGAAACCAGTAGCTGATGGGGTGTTAACAGTAGCATTTATCTCTTGGCCATTCATTCGATTTGTTTATGAATACATATATTCGTCAGCATTAGGGAAGTGAATTACAACTAGACATCTGTTATCAGCATAGCTCTGCTTAATTTTAAACAAACCCATTTGCGTGAGTCTTTTTTTTCCTACTTCCTTTAAAAATGACTTGCTGCATTGACCGAGAAAAGAATGTATGTATGTATGTGTTACTTTTAAAAGGTATGGAGCTCTATAAAATGCTGTAGTTTGCAGGATGGTAAATTGTGCAAGGTTTGTGTGTGTCTGCACACTCGCATTCTGCAGGACTGAATTACAGGCCTATGCACTGGCCTGTACTTTATCATTTGGATTTGTGCTGCTTAATGCTCGGTAAAATAGGTCTAATAAAAGGAATTATGAACAAAGTTGAAAACAATTAGAAGAGGGTACTATAGGCAAATCTATTTTGTAACCTAAAGGAAATTCAAGATTGCCCAGCCAAGTAAAAAATTTCAAAGTTGACTAAGAAGTTGTAGAACACTTCAGTAAGTAAAAGTAAAAGGTAATGGGGGCGGGGGGAGGGAATTATGGTTTTCAGGAGAGAGGCCACTCTGACTTTTGAACCAAATACTCTGATTTTGAAACAAGTACACTTTCTCGTTACCAAACTGCAGTGCAATCCCCAAAAACCTTGGGGTGGGGGGGAGCAAGTGAAGCTTTTACTTCCTTCGGTGTGATTCTTTAGAGCCTGCGCCAATCTTTGGAAGGTCTCATTCCCTCCCATTTCTATGTTTGATATTAGTAGGACCAAATTTCCAAGCTATGATATACTGAAAATAAAACACTTCGGAAGCAAATGGTGCTGTTTCCTTCTACAAGGACAATCATGCAAGAATGAGATTTATTCCTGAAGTGCTAAATAATGACTCATCTAAGTTCTGTTTTAGAGGTAATAGAACATCCTTGTCTTATGACAGACCCCGCACCCCAGCACCTTCCTCACTCGTGGAAGGAAGTTCCCCGCTTTGCCTATGCGAGGACTGCGGTTCTTTGTGCCGCCCTGTGGTTGCTTTCAGACCATTCTGCCTTCTGCCATTCGGGCTTTATTCTCAGATGCCTAAGGCAGAGCCATCTCTTCCTAGAGTTGGAGCCTTGACAAGGTGAGCGTGGGTGTCACAGCTGGAGTGCGGTGCCACGTGGGAGAACCAACTGCGTCTCGGGATCTCTCCTCCGGAGATTCATGCAACTTGAGCCGCAAGGACGGAGGCCTGTTTCACCCAGGCCTTTTTCCTGTTAGCGATGGAAAGAAGGGCAAAAACTGACTGCAGGAGACCGAAAGGAATGGTTTCTCAAATCCACAAAATGCCATCAACTCTTCCAAAGCATATTATGGTGAATTTTATGTGATTAAATATTTTGATGTACAATGAAAGTCAGTTTCCAGCCCCTGCAGTTTGTTTGGTTGGGGGGGGGATGTGATAATTTTTGTGTAGAGTTTGAAATAATTTATGCTCACTACATATACAATTACGATATTTATAAGCAAAAGAGGACCAGATTCTTAGATTCAGCAGTGGGTTTTTTTGTTTGTTCTTTGCCACCTTCCATTTTAATGATCTATACAGGCAATGCTTGATTTTGCTCATCTACATGAAGCTCTGTCAGTTATTTTATTTTATTTTTTAAATATATATTTTATTGATTTTTCTACAGAGAGGAAAGGAGAGGAATAGAGAGCCAGAAACATTGATGACAGTTATTTTAAAGCTGAGTAAAGTGCATTTGATTTTACAGTTTGATAGTTGCAATAACTTAATTAATAAATTATGTGCAGGCCTCTTTTGGGAGACATGATTTTTATCGTGACGATCACATTTCTAATCTGGCAGGACCCTTTCTACTCTGTAATTGTCATAATATAAAATAAATACATCTCATTAGTCCTCTCTACAGGCTTTTCTGGCAGGTACCAACTTTCAAAGCCACTAGAATTTTAATATATATGCATCCTTGTTAGTAACCTTGAGATCTATAAAGTTAATTTAAATTTTCTTTGGAAAATTATGTTCATTTTTAGGATTTGACTCTTCCTAGCCAAATAACAAAATGTTAGATACACGCTGAATAAAATAATAAAAATAATAGCAAAGTTGGATCCTTTTCATGGACACATAAGTACTTTCCTGTGTCACATACAGATTCAATGCCATATGTTGTATTGAGCATTTGGAGTTGGGGTGGGACAAATCCATGGCTTTGCACATCTGTTATGTATTAAGGCAAATACAAAAATTACAATCACTGTGAGTAAATAGGACTACTTACTGCCTTGTGCAAGAAATTATTTGCTATTATTTTTCAACAAGGAAACTGAAAAATAAGTATTTCAAGATTGGTGTTTATTTAGGTGGTGAATTTTTATTTTTATTTTTTTTTTCACATAACAGGTTTATTTTAGATGGTGAATTTTAATATTTAAATAATACAGGCATTCAAGAACATGGTTAAAATGAGGTAAAGCAGATATTTCTAATACTGTTACTGAAACTCACCTGATAGAATTTTTAAATATTGTTCTTACTGTATTAACAAAAAACAGTATAGTCATACCTTTGATAATTATATCTTTGGGGGTAACAGTGTTCAAGAATAAATATAACTCTATAGAAAACATTCGCGTGTGTATTAACTCATGTAATCATTGAAAGTGTGAAGTGGATATTGTTATTTTTATTTCATAGATAACAAAATCAGAGATTTAGAACTTCAAAGTTGCCCAGCTGATGTGGCTTAGTGGTTGGGCGTCGACCTGTGAACCAGGAGTTTATGGTTCAATTCCCAGTCAGGGCAGATGCCCAGGTTGTGGGCTTAATTCCCAGTACAGGCGTGTAGCAGGCAGCTGATCAATGATTCCCATTATTGATGTTTCTATGTTTCTTTCCCTCTCCCTTCTTCTCTGAAATCAATAATATATTTTAAAAAATAGAGCTTCAGAGTTATGTTAAATAGCAGACCCTCTTATTATTCTTTTTTAAAAAAATCCTTATCAGAGTACATTTTTCCCATTGATTTTTAGAGAGTGGAAGGGTGGGGGAGAGACGGGGAGAGAAAAAAAATTGACGTGAGAGAGACACATTGATTGGTTGCCTTAATTCCCAGTACAGGCGTGTAGCAGGCAGCTGATCAATGATTCCCATTATTGATGTTTCTATGTTTCTTTCCCTCTCCCTTCTTCTCTGAAATCAATAATATATTTTAAAAAATAGAGCTTCAGAGTTATGTTAAATAGCAGACCCTCTTATTATTCTTTTTTAAGAAAATCCTTATCAGAGTACATTTTTCCCATTGATTTTTAGAGAGTGGAAGGGTGGGGGAGAGACAGGGAGAGAAAAAAAATCGAGAGAGACACATTGATTGGTTGCCTCCCACATGAGCCCCGATTAGAGCCAGGGATCCTTGACCAGAATCAAACTGGGGACCCTTCAGTCTGTAGGACTACACTCTATCCACTGAGCCACACTGGCTAGGCCAGACCCTCTTGTTCTTACTTCCCAAGTTGTGTCTCCTGCCACTGTAATTGCTGCTAAAAAGATAAATGCATCCTGACATTGTAAAAAAGCATACTGTTAAGCATGGAGTAGCTACTAGCATGTTTTTCCTTAAGTTGAGGGCTACTGCCTATGTCAGACATCCCAACTCTGACCCCAAATACTGTCCCTTCTATTCTTCAGTGTCCTCACCTACGAAATAAAAATTTCAATGGAATCTTATATAGGATGAGGTGAATGAACAACTAAAGTGATCCTTCTGGCATTAATAGTTTCAAGATATGTGATTCTCAGTAGAAAAAAAAATAGTATTTTCCCCTCTAAGTTTGTTTCCTTGAATTTAGAGAAAAGTATGGAGTTAATAGTATTCAACAAAGATGAAACAAGAAGTTGATTGTTATCACAAATAAAACCAGCATGGCTGCTGTCCACTGGGAACTCTCATTTCTCATTCTTAAGTCATTCCTTATCCCTCCCACCACCAGAGTCCTCCATAGTCTAGAAAGAAAACTATTCTCTATGACCTAATGCCCCCTGCTTTTTTAAAAAAAAAATTTTTCTTTTTGAATTCAGAGAGAGAGAGAAACATCAATGATGAGAGAGAATCACTTATTGGCTGCCTCCTGCACGCCCCCTACTGGGGATCGAGCCCACAACCTGGGCATGTGCCCTTGACTGGAATCAAATGTTAGATATTAACATGTTGAAAGACAACTAAAGCCGTTTTTCTTTGGGTAAAGTGCAGATACCCAGGCATTGTTTCTACTTTGAATGGTGGGTATTGAGAATTCAAGGAGCTATAAGAAGGAAAGGATGTGCTCAGAGAAGCTTGTCCAGGCCAAAAGGAAAGGATTGATGCGCTGGTGAGGAGACTGACTCAGAAATGAAAGGAAATGCCAAAAAGAACTTCCCATTAACCACAAGGAGGTGGAGGGGGTGACACCACTTGATTATACAGCAGTGCGGGGGCCGCCCTTCCAAACAGCCACCACCCTGTGCACACAAGCTGAACATCATGAACCAAGATCACGGTGTAGGGTTGTATCTTAGGAGACTCTGGGGTATCAGCAAGGGTGGGTTGGGGTGA